GCTACCCTAGTTAGCATAGCTCATACTAAGCTGTGTCTCTCAACTTGCACATGTCACAATTGAATGTACTTCATAAAAATCTTGTTGCTGCAAGAAAGGCAAGCTGTGCATTTGCAATTCTCAATGCAAATGCACCAAATGCCTACTGAGACAGAAAACCTTCATTAGGACACAGCATAAAGGCATTCGCATGTGTGAGATCCACAAAATGCTGTGAAGAACATCCCATACCCATCTCCAATGCACTCTTTTGTCACTTCTTGAAGCCAAATGGAACAAAATGTTGAAGCCCAGATTCTGCGGGTGACTCTGCTGCTCACCTTCAAGTGATACTAATGGGGAAACTATAGCTTCCTTGGCCACTCCATTAAGCCTGCCCATGTAAGGCTGGACACAACCAAATGTCCACAGGCTTGTGTTCTTATTTACTACATTAGAAATAAACACCTATTAAATAATAAAACCTGCACCTTAAAAACAGGTATTTAATTTTTTTCTATATAGTATAGAAAAGTTGAGAAGGAAAATTATAAATCCTTAGTGTGCACTCAAGAAAACTAACTCATCATCATAAACTCAGTGTTTCATGAGCCGCAAGGGAAAATATGAGAAAATGAAATATTAATTTAAAACAGCAATACTTCATAATGACTACAAACAAAACTAACAGCAAAGTTCATCCATAACATAATGACAAAGCTGAAATTTGTTTCACAGTGTTAGATTAGCATAACTGAACAGATTTATGTATATTGCCGAGAGCAAACACAAAAACATTTGGAAGATATTCTGTGAAATTAAAGAAAACAATCCAAATGTTTCCCTGTGAACCTTTAGTAATAGCTACAAATATTTGTGTTAACATGGTACTTATCCAGTAGTTTTTCCACTAGTTATCAAGTATCATCTCAGCTCTCGTGGGAGTGCTGTAAGGACGGGCAGAAAAGTAAACCCAGTGAGTGATGGGTTGTTGTTTGGGACATGCATCCAGCTCTGACCAGGTGTGCTCTGCTCTCGACCAATCCTCACTGCGGCCTGGGCTGCTTCTCTACAGCAGCAGCAAAGACAGTATTCATGAGCTCAATAACACCTTACTTATTGCAAGAGTCATCCCAGGGGAGTGTTTCCTTGACCGTGCCACCAATGGCATGGTCTGCTCCACAGTTTGTTGACATTTGGACTCAGCTGAACAAAAGGATACAAAAAGGAGTGAGTTTCCCTTAGCCCCACTCCAGCCAGTAATTCCCATAAACCAGCTATCCCCTTTTGCTAAGACTGTTCCTTCTCCTGATAAAACATGAATAGTATTTTTAAATATACCAAAGTGCTATTTTTAAAAATTAATTAAGGCTGTGAAACACACCAATTCACCAAAAGTGAAAGTGACAAGAGGGAGAAATATAAGACACATGACTTTGGCAGGGTGGGAAAGGGGGTCCTCCAGACTTCTGCTGGATCTGGCTAAATTTGGCCTGACAGCACACCAACCATCTGGGATCAGAGCCCAGATACCTTCAGCTTTGCTTCACTTCTCCCAGATTTTTATAAGACTGAAGGGCAGAAAAAAGGAATCTGTCCTATCATGTGGTCATGCAGTCAGTCCCGTGATGATGTTCACAGGGGAAGATTCTGATCTCATTACATATGCTGGGATAACACCCAGGAGCACATTTTAGGATCAGCACAAGTGGCAAAGCCAGTAAGAAAACACACCATGTCTGCCACAAGTCCCAAGAAACCTCTGCTTATGACAAAGCAAGGTGGCTCTTGGTCTATAGGACTAAAACCTAAGGCTTTCAAAATGCATTTTGGGTAGAAAAAAAGACCCCATCAACGTTATGTATGAGAAGCACAGTGAGAACAGATAAAGGAAACAGCAACTGAAGCGGTCCTGGACCAGCCCTGTGGGTCTCAACTATCTGAAACCCTTCCCTCTGGCCATGATTAGTGTTTACTAAGTTCTTACACCCTGGCACGAATAAGAGACTTCAGCGCAAGCAGACTACACAGCAACTAGGACTTTTAATGACCAATAAATTATCTCTTGCTTTGGAAAAGCCTGTTATTATATTTAATTTGACAGTCCCATGCAGGGCAAATTCCATAGACACAAACCAAATGTCAGGCCTTGAGACCACACGTTTCCTCAGATGCAAAATAGACACTCACCAGTTGTTCTCTGAGGAGGATGGAAAAAGCTAATCCCTCTAAATTATATAAACCAAACAGAGAATGAAGGCTTAAGGCCTCAGCATTTATTTTTAACAAGCATAAACCACACTACTGCTTTCACATATACCTTCTAATATTTTTTTTTCCCTTTGAATGATATGCAGTACAACTATTTTAGGATCTGCCCCTGAGTCCCTGCAGCTGGCTCAACTTGTAGGGAATAGTAGATGCTAGTTTCTCCTCAGGACAGCCACCCTCCCCCCTAAATGCCTGTTGTGCTCTTGTAGAGAAACTTGGATCATGGAAGATCTTTTCCAATCCAACTTGTATTTAATTTTGCACCATGGAAGACAGTGAGAGAAAAGCTATTTCTTTTACTCATCTTGTATCTCATTCAGATCTGGGCTGGAACAGAAACAGAGGAGGAACATCCACTGAACTCTTAAGTGGTTTCCAGCTCCGCTTCACATCTGTTACTAATGCATCTTTACATTACTAGAGAGTTTAATAAACAAGGAAGTAAGAGTTCTCCAGTGAATTCGGTCCTATCATTTCAGAGCTCGATCCCTGGCTCTGACACCAGCCCCTCAGATGGACTGATGTAATTACACGGTTCGTTTTGCCCATTTGCAAACTGAAATAACAACGAACTCCTTTGCCATAAGCTGTGCTGGGGTGCCGGGAGGAAGGGCGCCGTGCAAAACGTTGGTGCAACGGGAAAGCCGTGAGACGGTGACCTCGCTGTCGCTCTCCTGTTACACTTACTAGGACAGGGGCAGAGGATGGGACTCTATACGGAAAGGTACTGATGAGCAGCACTGAGCAAATTAGAGGGAGGGAAAG